GCAATGTTTTCCTATTATCCAGTATAGGCACCCTCCAATTCCGAGAATGAATAAACAATTTCCAAAAGGAATATGGGCTATAATATTTTTATACATTGAATTATCTCTCATTCTATTTTATGGCATGAAATACAAGATGGTCGATCAATATTTTCCAGTAGGTACGGAATTTTTCGAATGTTCGAACTTTCGCTTTCTTTCAAAATGAGCACTCCTTATATTTTTTGAGTATGTGATGAACCTAGAATACGATATAGGATAGGATTCATAAACATTTTCTCATTGTAGATCCCTAAGACGATTTGTAACCATTTTCGAATTATTGAACTTTGGAAATTGTAAGTAGCTAGAACACACTGTATAATTGACCAACTGTAACAACACCGAAGAAACATACTTCCGATAGTATCTCATATATTAATGACTGGTTTGATCTTGATTATGCAGAATAGTGATTATTACCCAGAATACCATTCCGTGTTGTAGAACAATGAAGAACAAATGAGAGTTTTCAAGTACCTCTAGCGCCAAAACTAGCCTATAGAAAAAGTTGTGCCCATTGAACTTTTTGTTTGGAATGACTTGGACTATAACATATCAAAAATTCAGCCAATTCGACAGGGGGCCACTTTCCCTATTAAAGTGTGCGGTATCCTTTAATGTGAATCAAACATCACTCCTATGAGTTCAATTCCCAAACTCCTCTTGAAAATACATTTTTAATTTATATTTGTATTCCTTATAATTTAGACTATCCCTAATAGACTCTGGCAAACTGTTAAATGTCCGTATACTTCTGTTCAGTGGGCTATTTAAAGCTATGTTTGGTTTTACATTACTTAAATATAATGCATTACGTCTTCTGGTATCATGAGCATCTATATTGTTCACCATGTCTAATCGCCTATTACATTTGAAGTTATTATTTATCACTTTGTACAGGAATTTGCTTTGTTCAATTTTTAATATTTCTGCTATGTTGCAGATCGATAAGCTTGATTATATAAGAGAAAAATGGACATATAGTAACCGATATTTTCAATAAGTGATTAGAAATGATAAGTAGGCAAAAGTACAAAGTTCGTTCAGCACTAAGAGACTTACCAAAGAAATATAGATCTCGAAGGTTCTTGTTCGGATGCAGGCGTTGAAGAAAGGGCCCTTTCAGAGATCGTTGTCGTTGGATGTGGTAATTATCCTTAAACTCCGTACACTGAACAGGTGTACGTAACACCTATATCTAATGCGATTTTCACTGTCTTTCACGAACAATCACATACATAACATATCGAATTAAAGATAGCGGTTTTCAGTATGTGGAAGGAACAATATGGTACGGCCTTTTCTCAAGTTCGTAAAAAGCCATTGTTGCAGTACGTTCCCACACTGATTAGACCGGTATTCATACACCAAGGTGGGGGTGCGCGAAATGGTCATCTCAGTGCTGATTGATTAGGCACGATTTTTAAGTATTTAATATTAATCTACTGACTCGTTCTGCAACATGCTATTTGAAGATGACCAGTTTCTTTGAAAACTACAACTGTTGATGTTCTGTAACCATTGTTAAATAACACCTTCACAACCTTATTTTGAATTCGTTGTGTTTTATTCATTAATGTTATCCCACAAGTGCCCCAGACAGGAATTAGGTAACTGAAAATTGGTAAGAAATAAGCATTATAGATTAGTTTCAATGTCGAATTGTATAGGTGGTCCCTACATCCCACATCGGTATAGTGCACCAATCGACGACTTTTTTTTTCTATAAGTTGAACATGTTTACTCCAGTTTATGTTCTCATCCAATATTAAACCTAAATATTTCTTACTTTCCACTCTATTTATACTTTCATTTCCTATTTTAATGTGCATTTCTGCTGAGTTTTTATATTTTTGAACAAAGCATATAGGTAGTTTTTTTTTTCAAATTTATTTGCAGCTTGTTTTTATCAACCATCCTTGGTATTTCTCCAAGTCATTGTTCACCAATATTTCCAGTACTCTTGAGTCTGTACTTGTGTAGACCAGAATAGTGTCGTCTGCAAAAGTAAAATATTTTGCGGCCAGTTTTGCTTTATCCAAACTTCTCAAAAGTAATGTATATAAGAAAGGGCCCAAGACCGATCCTTGAGGCACTCCATAATTAGTTTGTTGAATGTCACTGCAGCTATAAGTTGTAAGTAATGTGCTACTATTTTCTTGGAAACCATATTGGTATCTGTCAAATTTTACATAGATATCAATGAATGTTACCATGCGTTTTTTAATTACTGATTCAATTAGTTTTGATGAACATGATGAACATGACGAAAGGTAAATCAATCCTATACAGTATTTTTTTTGTTTTGGATGTATGATAAAATGGTCCCTAACACCAGTACATCCTAGGGACTTCCCAAGGACGTCCCTGATTTTATACTAGGACATCCCAGGGATGTCCTTTGTCGGGACAACGTACATACTAGGGATGTCCCAGGGACATCCGCTGGCCACAAAAAAAAGGGCATCCAAGGGATGTCCTTCTGGTACGTCCCTGGGATGTACCAAGTACGATGAAAGGATATTCCTAGGACGTCCCAAGGATATCCCAGGGACATCCTTTCGACAAAAGAAAAAAAGTTGTAGGTCGAGTAGGGATTGAACCCGGGACCTCTGGCTTATGCACGCACCTTGCTCCATTGGCTATCATGCCTCCTGAAGATTTATGTACTGAACAGATTTATAAACAGGACTTAAATACAGAAACCTGAATAAATACAACTTTGTTAGGAATTGGGTATAATTATTATCATTCTTGGGTGTTTAAAAATGGAGGGAATTATGCATGTACGATTTCTGTCTGCGAAAAATGGTAATTTCTTAAGAAGTTCTGAGACTTTATTCTTTATTTTCATTACAATCATTTTCCGGAAGAAAAACAAACATTGTCAAAAAAATTCAATGACTGAAGTGAATGGATATCAGATACTCCAGGGACACGAATAGGATAACCTAGGGATGTACCGGGCGGGATGTCCACTGGACAACCACTGCAGCATATCCCCTGGATGTCCCAATCATGTCCTTGTACCGCGGGACAAAAAAGGGACGTACCTAGGACATCCCTGTGTTGTAGGTTTGTCGGAGCGGTCTTTCCATATAGGGTGTTGGATTGTAGAGCTCATTAGCGAAATCTGTTACATGCTCCGCGACATGATTTTCGTGAGTAATAGATCCGAATCCTATATTGTTAGGAACAAAATTTATGGTGGGAGTGGAGAACAGTTTTAACAGCCAAACCTACACTTTGACGTAGATTATAACGAAAGATGACCTTGAAAAATTCGTCGGAATCTCCTTGTCTGATTTTGCACAGGAAGCACAGAAGGTCTGTTCTACTCACATATCTGAAGCCTGCATCATCTCGAGGAACTGAATCACAAAATTCATAGAGCCTATTGAATTGTTTTTCTGTGAGACAGGTTAACGTCAGATATTTCTGTTCTTGAAGGTCTATGCTTAAGCTGTTCCATGGATCCAAATGGTTTCTCACAGTTATTTGAAGAAACGTTGCAAATCTCGGCCGGGGACTATTAGTCAGGGATTAAAATATTTACAATATATAGATTGACTCTAGCAACTAATGTTAGGTGAAGTAAATTATTATTTGCGCCACAAAATATGCACACTCTTGCATGGATGGGAAAGACAACAGTCAGGTTCATAGCATGAACGTTATCCCGGATTCCAAGTTCCTCTATGATGGACCAATTACAGTTCAGACATAAACGAGTACGATCGGTCAGGGGAATATCTACTCTTCCTTTCTGAGCCGAAACCATATTACACACAGGATGTGCTGTTCTGGTAGAGGTTATCTGGCATAACGGACTTTGGACCAAAGGACATTTCTTGTTCAGCATGATTTGATGTATCCAATCCTAGATTTTCACAAAATTCCACCGTAGACAAGATTTCAATGTAAATGGTGCGGGGTCTTTTGTTAAGTTGCTATGGTAACGATACAGTATACATACTTCTGATTGATCAAACATTTTAGGTGTGACGTTTTCAAAATAATAGTTTTTTGCGATTTATTCGGATTTATTGTCATTATGTTCGATTTATCTCTCATGCACCGAGTGCAACACTCCATGTTCTTTAACACTTGAATTAGTAAAAATAATTTTGATGAAATATTATTTGTTTAGTACCTTATTGGTTATTCCGACTATCCCGAGGGTTCTCCACTTCATCTGGCTCCCAGAAGAAAAATCCCGCTGCGCTACTGATGCATACAGTCCCAGTATAAAGTAATGCATACATTCGATAACTTGGTTATCTTTCACTTTTTCAAAAATATTTTAGAAAATTGACTCTTTTTCCACCGAGACTGAAAGACACATTCTTTGAGGCATATAAAAAATACTAGCAAAAATATACACGTTGGAGTAGACAAACAGTGTAATGGTTTAGATGAAACGGCCTGTATATTCTCCCATTTTTTGTTAAAGTTTAACATTAGAATTCAGATATCGGCTTCATGTGTACTCGCACAAGGTGGCAATGTTGCATTATTTATCTAGTCATTATTGAGGTCACCTCCCCTCACCATGATCTCTTTATTGAATATATTTGGTGAATATAGAGTTCAAATATTCAACAAATTTTCTTACTTTGATATCGATTTGGCAGATTGGACATTTGATGTTCGGAAAAACATTATCCATTTGATATAATTTGGCAATGAAGTCATGGTCTCCGGATGATAGAATGAATTTCCGTTGTTCTTTTTTGTTGAGACGTTTTATGTGACTTAGAATTTCCGCCTTGACAACTTGTCTTAGCGTACTGGCCTCATCCACCAAGTTAGCATGTTGTACTCTGAGTTGTTCACCGTGTTTTGGATCGTCATCCACATGATGCTGTTCTTTATTATCACTTTTATTAGTAGTTGAACGAGCATTAGCTGCTCTCGAAAATGGTGTACTGATATCTGAATTGTTCTCTTTTCTAATTTTATGAACAAACTATCATTTTATATATGAGAACTTTTTCCCCAGGAAAAAAACGGAATAAGTCTGTTTCCTCCTCGAATACTCCAAAATACTCATTCCAATTAGGAACTAATTCCTTCAGATCTGTCCTTGCAAATAATTCAATATCCTTAATGTCTTTGTCACTTATATCCGCCAATGTTACACTATTACCATATCCAGATAGTTCTAAATTCAACTTCACGTTGTTAGGTATTTTAAATTTGAGGAATTTCTCCACATTATCCATTTGATCTAATTTGGCAATGAAGTCATGGTCTCCGGATGATTGAATGAATTTCCGTTGATCTTTTTTGTTGAGACGTTTTATGTGACTTAGAATTTCCGCCTTGACAACTTGTCTTAGCGTACTGGCCTCATCCACCAAGTTAGCATGTTGTACTCTGAGTTGTTCACCGTGGTTTGAATCGTCATCCACATGATGCTGTTCTTTATTATCACTTTTATTATTAGTTGAACGAGCATTAGCTGCTCTCAAAAATGGTGTACTGATATCTGAATTGTTCTCTTTTCTAATTTTCTGAACAAACTCTCATTTTATATATGAGAACTTTCTCCCCAGGAAAAAAACGGAAAAAGTCTGTTTCCTCCTGGAATACTCCAAAATACTCATTCCAATCAGGAATTAATTCCTTCAGATCTGTCCTTGCAAATAATTCAATATCCTTAATGTCTTTGTCACTTATATCCGCCAATGTTACACTATTACCATATCCAGATAGTTCTAAATTCAACTTCACGTTGTTAGGTATTTTAATTTTGAGGGATTTCTCCACATTATCCATTTGATCTAATTTGGCAATGAAGTCATGGTCTCCGGATGATTGAATGAATTTCCGTTGATCTTTTTTGTTGAGACGTTTTATGTGACTTAGAATTTCCGCCTTGACAACTTGTCTTAGCGTACTGGCCTCATCCACCAAGTTAGCATGTTGTACTCTGAGTTGTTCACCGTGGTTTGAATCGTCATCCACATGATGCTGTTCTTTATTATCACTTTTATTATTAGTTGAACGAGCATTAGCTGCTCTCAAAAATGGTGTACTGATATCTGAATTGTTCTCTTTTCTAATTTTCTGAACAAACTCTCATTTTATATATGAGAACTTTCTCCCCAGGAAAAAAACGGAAAAAGTCTGTTTTCTCCTGGAATACTCCAAAATACTCATTCCAATCAGGAATTAATTCCTTCAGATCTATCCTTGCAAATAATTCAATATCCTTAATGTCTTTGTCACTTACATCCGCCAATTTTACATTATGACTGATGTCCAGGGTATTCAGGAAAAAACTTTTACACACCTGGCATCTCGACTTAATGGTTTCAAAGTGATAAACATAAACATTACTTTTTCTACTCAATTCCTTAGTTGTTCGTTTCCTTATTGGATTATGTTGTGTTACAAATTTGCTGAAGAAATGAGGTTTTTTGTTATCAGAGAGTCGCCAAAATTGCTGATGAATCATAAGTCTATCTTCAAGTGTGAACTTATCTTCACATTTGAAAGAACATTTTGGTGTACAACCACCCCTAACAGCACGTTTCTGGAAAGTTTTACCCTTAATATTAACGTATTCTTCCCCTGTCTCTCTTTTTTTCTTTCTTATATTTTTTTCCATGTCTCAGGGGTTGCCTTTCGTTTGCGGACCCTTTTTTCTGATATGACTTCCTTCTGGTCTGAATTAGTGATGTTTACTAAAACATTTCTGCTTTCTGATACACTTGACTCTGAATCATCCAATAGTGATTGGTTTTCTTCGAGGTTTTCTTGCACAGGAATGAGTTCATTGTTGATCACTAGGAGTTCCTGTACTACAATTGTGCCTTCCGTTGTCATATCTTCAGGATATGTATCAAAGACACGTTTCTCTGAATTCTCCTCAGAATTTACTGCTACAAATATTATTTCTCAGATATTTTCAAAATTGTATAATCAGTACACAACTTACCCTCAAGAGTTTTCTTGGTAGCATCATCGGTTATATTACCAGAGTTTTCCGTTTCCACAGTGTATATACCTGCTTCGGAATTGGAATCATTCGAAAACAAGTTCTTCTTCACTTCATCTATTCGAATATTCGGTATATTTTCTCGATTCGGTTGTGATGATGGATTTCGCAATGATAGTAACCATTCCGCTCTCTCACTAGAATGATGTGAATGTTTATACTTAATAATGTTTAGCCAGAACTATTCGAATAAAAAAGAACTCACCTACTGTATACATAATTCATTTTTCTATAATGAAATTCAGTCCATTAATCAGCGATGAAACAATCAACGACACTCAAGTTTATAGGTTATTTCATTAGGTCATCATAACAAGAGCACGTGATAGGAGCCTGTTCCACTATTGGCCAAAGTGGATATTGAACAAATATGTTTTACCTATCTCTGTCATAACAAGAGCACGTGCTGTTTCACTATTGGCCGAAGTGGATATTGAACAAATCGGTTTTAACGCATTTGATGGATGTTGGACACCGAACAATATTATCATGTTGCACTGTTCAATATCCGGATAATGAACAAACACCCTCAAAAAATCTGAAATTATGGGATATTGGATACAATTTAACTGAAATATGACTGAAATTGCGAATATATCCATATAAATTCATGGGGATATTGAACAATTCAATACTAGGAATATGTTTTCGTCGATAACTCATTTTATGGAAAAAGTGGATATTGAACAAATCAACTTTCATCCGACGAACAGTCGCCAACTCTCGTCACATCAACCAGAGTAAAGCATAAGCGCACGTAAGGAATATTTTTTGAGGTTTCAAAGCCCACGGATGCCCGAGCTGTATTCACAATTCAGATATATTGGGAGTTCAAATGGAGTTCAGTTAACTTTCTGTTCTAGGGTGATGAGAATTGTATTAATTAATTATAAAATTTATTGTGGAGGATAATAATCACCCTGTAGATCTTTTTCGAATCAGTGGGTGGGGTATCTGTGAAAATGTTGGTAGACATTGCTATAAATAATTTTATGATTTCAATTCACAGTTCTATCCATTCGATTTGTTTTATTCAGTTATTTTGGTTACTTATTTTCCGTACTAGAATTATCTGCCTTTGTCAGTATATTTTTTGAAAAATAATTGTGAATAAACCTTAATTTTCTGTTCGACTATCCACTGATTTGAAAAAGATCTCAGGGTGATTATTACCCTCCACCAAAAATGAAATGACGAAATCCAGGCCTGGAAATGTTAGAACATATTGATTTCCATTGGGCTTTCATTTGTGAAATTTATGCGTTGCGAAGTAGTTATTTTCGAATGAATAAATTTGTTGTCAAACTTTCGTTTTTGCTTATAATTTATCGTTTCCTGAAAAATTCTGTGAAAGTGTGAGGAGAATTTTGAATATTTCATTCTTGATGCTTGTTTGTGTGCTTTGAAAATACTCTGTCACAGTTTACAAAAACCATATACAGGATGAAGTTATGCCCAAAAGATGTTTCTGCCAAATCTCACAATTCACCCTATACATATATTGGTAAAGAAGAGAAGAAGGCACTTTTTAATGGTCATTAGATATTTCCCTCAAGGGCCACTATTGGTGGTAGGAGTATGTACAGTTTCTCATGACACCCTGTATATGGTGTGTTTCTTAATAACATGCTAAAATCTATTGAAGAGGTTTTTCTTGAGTTCATTTCGAGAAAAAGAAACCTCATGTGAACATATGTCCTAAAGGTCTCAACTTTTGAACTACATAGTGATGAATTTCTGATGAAAAATTCTTGAATTCAATAATGACTTTTGATAATAATTCTCTCTTATGAATCATTGTATAAAGTTATACAAATTGTTTTTTCCGCATACCTCTATCGTCGTACTCTTCTTCCCTTCCTGACTTTTCCTTTCTAGGGAGGATAATAACTCATAAGGCATTGACGACCAAAACTCATTTTACACGAATGATTTGTGACTAAAGCATTTGGTTTTATAGTGTCATTGCACTCACATACTTTAACTTTTTTTCAGAATCCAGGAGATGAAGCTACAATCAATGAATAAATTGAGTTCGCCTACAACAGGAGACCAACTGTGCAGTCATATCACTCTGGATGGTGATCATCTCAGCAATTTGCAAACAGTGTGTGTAGGACAAAATAAAAAATATCAATTGGAGGACGTTTATGAAGCACTTGACATTCTGTTCAAGCTATATCATGTATTTCAAAGAAGGTATCCACCACAAAGTGAACATTCAATGTATTTCAATTCAGCAAGGGGTTTATTAAATTTCTACCAGATTTGATAACATCGCACGAAATATCTGTGAGGCTTTATAACTAATTGATTAACCATTATAAATTGTGATACAGTTGGTAACAAAATATATTTTTGAGTTTGCCCAATGAAGTTTGAATGTGTTATGATTACTCATTTCACTTCGACTTCATTCATAACATGCACCAGTTTCACAAAAGAAACTATGATAGAAAATATAATTCCAGAAATATTTTTTTCATCTCTTAGTGCACACGAAAGGAGGAGGTATGTTGGATTTTTTTTTAACTTTTGGAGGTTATAAGTTCTTATAGGAACACTTCCAGTGGCGAAGAATTCCAAAGTTTCGCCGTGTTGAGAACTCACGGTCTGGCGTGCAAGTGGTTACTAGCAGAGTAGAAAGTATTTGTAGCAGCTTGAAGATGTTAGGACAAAATTCTTTGTTACATTCTGAAAGAGCTTCAATAGCAGTCTATGGAGGATCACACTCTGCCTGCTTCTCTCAATAAATCGTCCACAAACTAAACTCAGCTTCCGATAAGTCAACTTTATTTTGGTAGATGTAAAAACTTCACAAACGATGAGATTTCCACAAAATTCTTAGTCACACGACATGTTCCGCTAATACAGTAGCTTCGTCAGGTGAAATACTGGTACAGGGTGATTCACCATAATTGTCCCCCCTCTAGATCAGTTACTTTTGAACCGATTGCAAAATTTTAAAAATTATCTTAAATGATTTTCGAAAGAGTTTTTTTCTGCTACATCAGAAAATACAAGGTGCTCGGAACAAACGATCTACAGGGTACTATTTGATTTTTTCAAATGGAACACCCTATTTTTCATTGTATCTAGATTCTTCCTGAAGAGCTGATTTCATCAATGTATCACACTTGGAGTTTAGGGAAAATGATTACAGAGATATATGGTGTTCAAAATCGAGATTTTTCAACTTTTCAAAACGGCTTCCTTGATCGTAGCATAATTTCTGGATATACTATCTACTGACATTTAATAATTGGAACAGATACAGGGCGATCATAACTTTCGACACAAAAAAATACTTAAGTTGAAAAATCTCGATTTTGAACACCCAATATCTCTGTAATCATTTCCGCTAGAGCCCAAGTGTGATGCATTGATGAAATCAGATCTTCAGGGAGAATCTAAAAATATAATGAAATACAGGGTGTTCCATTTGAAAAAATCAAGTAGTACTCTGTAGATCGTTTGTTCCGAGCACCCTGTATTTTCTGATGCAACAGGAAGAACATTTCAGAAAAATCATTTCAGATGATTCTTCAAAATTTCAAATCGGTTAAAAAATAAGTGAGCTAGAGGGGGGGACATTTATGGTGAATCACCCTGTACAATGAAATAAACTCATGAATCAACTGAAATTAGTTTATTCCATTGTACCAGTATTTCACCTGACTAAGAATTTTGTTGAAATCTCATTGTTCCTATAGTTTTTACATTTGCTATGGATTTCCATCAAGTAACGGCCGAGTCAATTCAAAATTCATTTTGGTAAATTTTCAAATATTCCATATCTGAAACAGTAGGAGTCGTTAACAGAGAATACAAATTTTGGAAATCTCCTTGGTGATCCATGAATCGTACTTGCAGCTGATTTGTAAAAATATCTAGCAGAGCAATTGCCATCGCAATGCGAAAGTATTGTTCTTGGTCTGAAATTTGAATGTTACATCGGTTGCGCTGTTTAGCAACGGCACGAGGAAGCCTGACCTATGCACCAACATCAGCTAGTAACAATTCAGCTGTTTTGTAGATACGAGAAAACTCGATCTCAATATTCTTTCACATATTCTGAAAGAGGTTTACTATATTTCCAACATGATATGTTGCAGATTTCATAGCAGTGATGGTAACACCTTACAAAGAGTCACAGTATGTGAAAGCAGTTGAGCTAAGAAGCGTAAGCTGATGAGAAACTCCCCACAAGTCAATGTTTTCACAATTGATGACGCATTGGAGCCACTGCTTAGGTCTTCTAAGGTGGCAATTATAGTTTTGAAAAGCTCCCGAAACTTTAGTTAGCTGTTCTCAACCCACCTGGTTTCACACATCGATGCTAGAGTTTTCCATCGTGAGCCTGGGTTTTCTGTTTTGATTTCATCTCTCAGTGATGTCATTCTTTTAGGGGAATTTTTGAAAAAAACTACCACAGATCTGACCTTGCCAATACAGTTTCTTACACTCTGTAAGTAAGAGTGACGAAGAGCAAGGTTCAACGAGTGAGAGCAACAATGGACGTAAAGAGCTTCTGGATACTGTTTTCTTATCAAAGCTTGGACGCCCTTAAAAGATCCTTCCATGACAGCAGCTCCATCATAGCCTTGACCTACATTTCTTTGCATTCCAGACCTAGACCTGACAAACATGAAATTATAGTATCAGCTATTTATTGAGCATTTGTGCCTTTTAGGTGTGTAAAAAGTCTGCTTTTGTCACAAAACAGTTTTTTTTGTGTACCGTACACATATAGAAAGTTGTTCATGTCCCGAAATCTGAAATGTCTGCAGTTTCGTCTACGAAAATTCAGAATACATTATGGAAAATACTATCCTGGTGTTTTTTAAAATATTCCAAAGCATCTTTCCAATTCATGTACGGTTCTTTCACTAGTAATCTCAACTTTTGAGGTCCACCTTTTCCAGCTGTATCTTCTGAAAATAATACACAATACTCACAAAGTGCGGCATCATTCTTTTCTGAATAAACATGCCATGGATATTTATGTAGCCACTGACTTTGAAAACCTCTTTCCGCTGTCAGGGAATCGAAACTCTACTTCTGGTACCCACGAATTACACAACAGTTTTTATTTTGTGTCAGGGTCTATTATTTCAGAAAGGATATTGATATATTTTCCTGAATCGAGGAAATTTTCATCATCACAGTTGATTTCAACACTGTCAACAATATTAAAATCTTGTTATGGCAAAGTTCCACTTTCGCTGGAGGTTCCTGCAACCGGCTCATTGGAATGTTTTGGCTCATTATCATTTGATACATCAGAGTCAGAGACAAATTTTAGATGTTACTATAAATGTTGAATTAGGAGATCTGCGAAGTGGTACGTTTAGCCATTGTGGTCTGTTCCCTAAAAAAAAATCAAAAATATAAATAATCAACAACAATACAATAAATAAAAGCGATTTGTGATGAACACTCTCCCGCGTGTGATGCAAGCGCGTTTACATAATCAGTATTCATACGTTAACTACCAAATAAATCGAAACATTTGTTTCAGTGATATTCAAAATACGTACCTACGAATTTTAAAAACCGTACGTAACTTAACCTCTTCGACACGTGACAAGTGATTTTACTCTATAATCACTGAGACACGTTTACGTTTGGTGTTTTCGATCGACTGTCGCTAAGAGAATAAGGTTGAAGCGCGTTTTCGTCAACAAGCCTGTGAGCACGATAGACGGCGCAATACATAAGAGCGAAAAGTCGTAAGTGAGTCCAGCCAGTGAGCCGCCAGGAGACAAACCTTTCTTGCCCAATACGCAACAACACCAATACTTCAATTCTTAATTTTCGATACGGTTATTACGATTTTTGGTGTATATAATTTTATTTCTACTTCTCAAACCTAGTATCAATTTCGAATGCTAACTCAATTTCAGGATTAAATGGGGTTTGACCCCCTAACCCACTTTGGCTACGGCCTTGGCTTCTTACCAAGTATTTCCCATTTCATTGATATAGTCATAAAGAAATCTTGAAGGCGCAAATGAGGAATCTTTCATGTTATAATTTTTTTATAGATCTATTTTCAAATATTTCCACTTATCACTACACTGTGCTGCCGTACTAAGCAAGAAGGATGAGGAATCTTTCATGTTATAATTTTTTTATAGACCTATTTTCAAATATTTCCACTTATCCCTACACTGTGAGTGTACCAGTTAGATTCCATGTTTTTCTATTATATCTTTTGCCAAATGATCCCAAACTTCATGATTTTTAATTTGGTAGGTGTATCAACTGTACAACGGCTCCATGTTCCAGGTTTTTCTTTCCGATTAGCCTTATTAATTCAGGTCAATCGATTCAACCCAAATATCTTTGCTCATTTTGCGTACATTCTATTGAACAAGTACCATCTAAATAAAAAATCTAAATCTAAATAAAAAATTCTTAACAAGTAAACAACAGAGATAATTCTGATCTTACCTCTTGTACTTTGTATAATGAAAGAGTTTCCTTGGGTGGATGATTCTCTTCCATAACAACACTATAATCTATGTTGGTTTCGTCAATCTCCATGTCGCAGAGTAATATTGGATAAACGACTGAAAAACAATCTGATTATAAGTTATAAAAAAAGCTGAACAAACCAATCGAAATTGATATCGTACATAGCCTAAAATCTCTCAATTACAGATAGAACAACAGAGCAACAGTTTCAGTGTTTGGCCGATATTCAACCAAGTGGAAAGTGAGGTGCTATAGGCGCGCTCTGAGGTAACACATTGATGTGCCAAATTTGACACACTGAAGTATACTCTCTTTGATTCCTGAACGTTGCACAGGGGCACTACCGTGCACTCAACACGCTAGAGTGTTGATTCTGAACGCACTCCTGGTTTTTTGAAAAACCCTTCTCGTATGACGTCACCTATTCCAGTTGGGGATACTAATTTTGGTGGTAATGAAAAACTTCACTACTTTGAGCTTCTTGAGTTTTATTCCAAAGGGTGATTGAATCCATTTTTGGGTATTTTTTACGTGAGCGAAACATTGGACACGCTTTTGGCAGAATCGTCAACCAACTTTTCAGAAAATATATGAGATTCAACAATTGTGTGAACTGAACAATTCAACCTGAAAAACTATCTTCAAGTAGAGTCACTTCAGGCCACACATCATCACGGGTAAGTTTTCAAGCCCCACAAATCATGCCATATTTTAAGTACATCTGATTTTGTTCTACGCCTTTATTTTACTTTACTCTTGTGTCCACTTTCAGTGACTGTACCAATCTCAGTAACATTCTTCAGTTTCAGTTTTCCTTCTTCATTGTACTTTTTACTCATGTCTGAGTTCCATCTGTTGTCTGTCTACTCGTTCTACAAGTGCCATCCTTATCTAGTTCATCCTACGAATCTTCAAGACTGCAGGACCACAGTTGTACCTCCAGGACATGCTGTCTATCTTGCTAGCTCTGTCACAGAAGCTCCTTATTGCTGCACTATTAGCTGAGTCCATTCATGATCATAATTAATGTGAGATTTATGAAGTCTAATGAAGGGACTTCTACTGTGTGATCAAAACCGCAGCATAATAATACATATTCAGGGAGCTCTTGATATCAATAACTCAGTATATATACCAGGATTTAGATTTAGAGTAAATTAGCTTTCGTTGAAAGTTACTCAGAATCAGAGCTCAGCAGTTAATATTCGATCTTACCCACCTGTGAACTTTGATTATATATATCTTCAATATATGCTCATAAGGTCATGAGGCCCATGACCTTATGAGCATATCAGTCACATAAACGGAGTTCTGTACACACCTATGGCTGATCCTTTATTTTTAGTTATTGAGGTAAATTATCAGCCCAAATTATCATCACTATTTTAACTGATCGAACTCAATATTCATCATCATCATTGTTATATCATATCACTCATTCTATATAAAATTTATCAACTCTTATATGTCTCACAAAATATTTGTTAACGTCATTTCTAAAGAACCCATTTTCAAAACCGTTTCCACTGCGAGCTCACACACAAGGTCACACTGGATCAGAGCTTAAAATATTTTGGGTAGTGTACTTTGGTTCAAAATGCCGGTTTTGCACATTTATGGTTTCAGCATTCAAACTTTTCAAGAGTTGAAGCAATAAACAGATGTTCTACATTGTCATCACCTGTTTCCATTAATCTATTGAATAATTCCCATTTATAATCAATTGAACACCACCACCACAAGAATTCAGCTCTCTGGATGGAAAATTCCTATTTTACCAAGTCTTTTCATATCATGATATCTTGAGAACAACATTCAATAGATAATTCGTTGTCACTTGATTTCATTTACATTTGGTTTTATTATTTTCATTATAATATTGATTATGTGGCATATGATGAAGGGTCACTACACCTACAGCGCGGCATATCCTAAGGAACGCAGCTGGAGGCGTGACAATATTTCCATGGAAAAAAACTGTAATCTGAAAGGAAAATCATGGTGAAATCTGTAAGTTTGTGATATGTTCTCGAATGTTAGTCTCTAATTCTAATAATTTATACGAGAATGAATAAATTTTCACCTCATATCCTAGGTATATTTATTATTCCTCAAATTGGGAGTGCAAACAGTTGCATATCAGTCACATAAACTGAATTCTGTACACACTTGTTTGATCCTTTATTTGCAGTTTTTGAGGTAAATTATCAGCCACGATAATTATCACCACTATAACTGATCACACTCAATATTCATCAAATACTTTACAAATACTTTATTCACCACTGGAAACTTTTGTACAGATTATGCGAACATAAAATATGCAAAAAGCTCATTGGACTAGTCAAATTTAAAATATACAATTGAAATAAGTAGGCAGTACTACAGTTATTCATTAACATTACTAGTTAATACAGGTATAGGTATACACAATTGACACAATTCATTACAGTTATCTAAAATTATTTACATTGCTAAAAATTCATCTGTACAATATATGCATTGTTTAAGAAATATGCTGTTAGCTCATCTTTAAATTTGGTTTTATTTTCTTTGTCGCCAAAGAGATTTTGGAATTTGTTATAAAATTTTATTTGTTGCTAGATGTGAGAGTTTTGACTGACTGCGAGTCTGGAATAAGACTGATGTAGCTGATTACGACCACGTGTTTCATAATTATGAACATCACGATTTTTTGTTACAAATTCATTATTCATTATATATCTTTAATCAAGAGATATATATAGAGTGAATTCAACAAATACTGTTCTGCAGGAGACACTAGAGTGGGTTCCCTTCTTGCATCGTACAATTCTCTTTTGAAGAATGAAAACTTTATTAAAATGAGCTGAGGCCCCCCAAAAAATAAGTCCATATGACAGTATCGACTGTACCAGACCAAAATACGCAATTCTTAAAACATCCATCAATACAGTGTTTTTTAATTGTCTGATGAGGAAACAAGCAGAACTCAATTTGCAAACTATGCTATCAATATGAATCTCCCATGTCATTTTTTGGCCTCACGGATTCAGGTGTTATAATTATGTCAGATAATATCTTTATCTTTTTATCTGGGCATGGGCTATGATTTTCAGATATCTCTTGAAGCGCTGCTAGATCGGTTTCATTTAGGTCGAGATTTTGACAATTTTCTGTGATCTCATTGGATTGACCTATCTGACCAAGAGGACAATTATCAACAGATTCGCTATAGACAGAATTTACAAACTCTGCATTGTCATCTGTTCTGGAGGTACCTTGGTCAACATCATGTTCTCCAAGATTTGGCCGATCTGTCACGGAAGACATAAAAAAATCATCATCGGAAAATACATCCGGATTGAATGGATGTATCCCTGTTTTCTGGAATTCTGACAGAATATTTTGCCGGGACATAGCCTTGTTGAATGCAGTTTTTGCAAAACTCGGTATGTTATATATGTTGATCGTTTGACCAGGATTAGAAGTCATGAATCCAGAAGCTGCTGTATTATAGTAACCTTTAAAAGGCCCATAAACCGCCACATCTAATGGTTGCAATCGATGACTGCTGTGTGGTGGAAATGTAAACAAGTGAACTCCATTTTCCTTAGCGAGTGATACAACGTCAATATTAACATGGTTCTCATGGTTGTCCATGAGAAGAAGGCATGGATTATCTTTAGAAGCTCTAGAATATTTCATAAAATGTTGCAGTGTTAGAACAAAGTTGCTTCTTGTCATCCACCCACTTTGGTGAGCCAATCCACAACTATTTTCTGGTCCATTCATGAGCATGTAATTTTTGAATCTCTTCAAAGGGAAAACGAATGTTGGTAGAAGGGTGTTTCCAGAAGCACTTATAAAGCAACAAATGGTTACCAGTTTACCCCTTTCAGCGGAAGTGACGTGTCCGACTTGTTTTCTCCCTTTAGTTGCTATTACTTTCGGTGGTTTATGGACAGTAGTGCATGCTGTTTCATCACAATTATAAATATCGTCGGACGTATACTTGAATTTGTCCAAAATATAGGCGAGATTTTCAAAGAACTTCTTCACTGTATGTTTGTTGAAGCTAGTTGCTCTTCCCAAACTTGTTGCTTCCGGTTGTCGTAAAGAGAGAGAAGGTTGTCGGCACATGAAGTCTAACAACCAGTCACGTCCCGCTGACTGATGATCGTTCCATTCAGGAGGAAAGTTGATTCCTTATTTCACGGCATATTGGTAAACAAATCTTCTGGTTTGTTTGTTATTCAAGCCATAATGCATGTTACTACACGTTTGAATATAATCTTTCAACATATTCTCCTGTTCTTCATTGAAAACTTGCCGTGAACATGGATTAGCTATAAAAGTGTAGCTTGTTTGTTGTTCTCGAGGAAGTTTTTTAGCATTCTGTACGTGTCTTTGGAGTGGAGAACAACTGAAACCCAAGTCGTTCGCTACTTGTCTAGCTGATAAACCTTCATTCAATACTTTTTGCACAGCGAAATTGATTTCCTGAGCTGATTTTCTCTCTATTCTTCTTTTTTTTGTACTGGCGAGGCATTTTGATCTGGAATCAGAATATTTTCCAAGTTGTTACATGTCTTCTTAATATTGAAATAATTTGACGGGAGGTATGAGTCATGACCCAAATCTCCCCTGATTCGATGGCCCATTCCTCCCACAATAGCCAATATTAATGCATGTGTAAACATTATTTTCCCTAAAACATTTAGGTTATGTTTTTAAATCGGGAGATATGGCGCAGATAAGAGATTATCCAAAAAAAGTATCAACAACCCTCAGAAGGTATTCACAAACACAATATCTACAATATATTCGAAAATAAATATACCAACTTTCCTCTCAATAATTACAAATTTATCACCAGCTACACAAACAAGAACTACCATCTTCTCTCAACTGTGGTAATGAGTTTTGGCAAACGAAAGGCCCCAGTCTTGCCAATTTTTTAAGGCCTCATACATAAAGGGAGATTTATATTGATAATGACCCAAACCTCCTGCGACCCAAACCTCCCGTCTTCCCCCTACTTCGTTGTCGCTCGATTTTATTTACGTTTGGTTTCATTCACACCACCACACTTAGCTCACTAAACAAGCGGGTTTACCCCGATTCTATATTGATTATGTGGCATATATGATGAAGGTTCACTACTACTACAGCGCGGCATATCCCAAGGAACGCAGCTGGAGGCGTGACTATATTTCCATGAAAAAAACTGTGTAATCTGGAAGGAAATCATCCCTGTAGAAGCTATTCTAGGTGCTCCTGAACAATGACCATGTATGCGCCGTCCATCCTGGACATCTTCTACCCTGCTCTCCTATTCCTGCTCCCCTGTTTCATCGAGACCTTCGTCGAATATGATTTGCTGATCGCTTTCTTCGGTGATCGGTAGAACTATCACCATGTGGGATCTATCACTGATGTTATATTCGAATAATCGCCCACAGGCCTCTATTGAATTGACGTATCAGTAATCCAGATAATTCTCGATTTCATTCCAATCAACATCACGTTGATGGTCACGATTGTCATTATCATTCGCACCGATGGCGGTTAAATTACCTATATCGGCATTCTCTTCTCGAAGAGATACGTTATCATCTGATGCAGCATGCTGTACAGATATAAAGTCAGGGCCCTTTCCTACATACTTGTACAAATACTTTATCGACTTTCAACTTCCTCACAGTTCGACGTTCACATGAAAATCGTATTTGATCGACAATAATTTGTTGAATGGAATGACATCGTGATTATCGATTAGGTGTCCACCCAAAACTGCCACCCGTCCATCATCGGGCCTCTTATACTCTGGTTGACCCAGACGATTCTGGTCGCCCCGTATGTATGTTGCCCGAAATTCTTTCTGGAAAAATTTGTTGCAATGTCATACAAACGGGACTCCGGATCTGTATCTGGTAACTCGGCGCACACAGCAGCATTGATGCTGGCTTCAGTATCTAATTTATCCTCGGGTCTAAGTGTTAAGAGAACGTGAGCATGCGGCAAACCTCGCTTCTGGAATTCCACTGTGTAAATATAGTTGAGTGGAACTCCGAAATATTGTTTGGTGGTGATAGCTATAACTTCCAGCAATTTGGTGTGGTAAACTCGACACACGATTGAGATTATTTTTAATTTCTGACCAACCAGGATTGCACGTAAACGTGATAAACAAATCAGGTTCGCCGTGCCGCGCAACCATAGTCATGGCATCG